AAATGTGCTGAATAATACAAAGCTTGGACTAAATAGAGAGCTGTACCGCCAAATGTTCCTTCGTTAACTTTTGAGTCGAGCTAAATATGAATGAACCCAATGTGTCGCTACTTGCACGCAGGGACAGACGAGATGACATTCAGTTTCATCAAACGGAGTGCTGTCATGGGAGGGCGTCCCATTACCCTTTTCATAGCGGCGCCTTCTCGAACACTCGCACACTCGAAGCCCACATTTGCTCGCGTCACAGAACTGCGGACTGAGAGGAAGTGCTTAGGGCGCAGTGTGGAGACCTGGGACACCTTCATAAAGGCACATGGCTCCTGGGCTGTTCACACACCACTGCATTCAACAGCACAGAGCAGAAGAGCAGCTTTACATTAAAATGCTGCGAGGCCATCACTTATTTCACCGACTGGCTAATCCTGGCCATATTTCATCACTACATAAACGCAAGAAGGTCTGTATGTTTCATTAAGGCCTTCCTCCTCCCAACACATTCTAAAAGGTCAAGAGATGGGTCTGCTCTTCAGATCTTTAATGAGCGCAGGGCAGCTTATTACAATTTTTCACTACAAGCAGAACAAATGTTACCAGAGTAGGTCTTGCCCTACAAGAGAGTTCTTTTCTGCTCCTTTACTCTGCAGAGGTCAATTTGTTTGCTTTGTCAGCGGCTCTCATCTCAGTCATCTGCTCAGCCGTCCTACCATAAAACAGACGCTAACCCACTGCCTCACTCTCAGTCAATACTCACTAGCTGCTTCCAAACTATTCATTTCCAGTTCAAAAAGACGGCAATTTAGCTTTTATTGTGCTCCACTCCAGAGAACAGCAGCCCAAGTAAAGACACTGTACATAACCCATATTTACACTGTTTGGTGAGCTGGTAAAAGCAATGAGGTTATTTCAAATTTATCTCGTGTGACAAGGTCAGTTCAATTTAACGCAGAAGAAAGTGTGTGTGTCTCCTTTGCTCAGAATGCATCTCACAAAAAAGAAGGAAATTAGATTATCTGTGCGCTTTGTCTAAACCCCAGGAGAATTGCAGTGCTTGGACCAGAGATGGTGTTGGACCCTTCCTGTGACAGCTGGTGTTGTGGCAGTCGAGAGCAAACTTGCAATTTAGACTTCAAAAGAATAAGAGAAAACATTGTGTTATCGCCAATGCGACAAACACAGGCCTTGCTAATCAAAAATTCGCTTTTCATGGGTCAAATAAGCAAAACTAATGGCACTTGCACCTAGTGAGTGAGCATTACATTACGGGAAAGGCATGGTTCAGGATAAAACTGGGCACAAAAGAGGAGATGGATTCATGAATAAACATGAAAATATAAATCCATTCATGTTCCCATGGAAGTAAAGCTGCAACCCTGAAGCAGTGTGATTTCCAGGACGGAGGGGTCAGAAACACATTTTGCATCCTCCCGCTCACAAACAGCAGAGCTGGGGTCAAGAAACCACATTCAGTTTTGTAAGGAGAGGAAAACGATGTCACATACGGTGAATTCTCTGTTCAAAGCCTTGTCAGCTGGGCCCATACTAAGCAGGAAGTTGAGTGCTGGCTCATTTCCATACCTAATGAATCCTCCGGGGACTTTAAAAAACCTGTTCACCGCCCCCATGTACTGCATGCGTCTGACGCCACACACCTTCCATTAGCAAGAGAGCAGCACGTGGCAGCATGGCGGCACTGAAACACACAACAACACCGGCTACAGCCATCGCCGACTGGTCAAGCACGCTGAACGGGGATTTGGCCTGAAGACCAGGGCGAGCAAAGTTGCGGGTCTGACATGCATGCGGAATGCAGATGTTGTGGGTGGCAAAGAACCAACTCCGAGACCAGCAGAGAGCAGCAGATGTTCAATTTTCTGGTCTGAGCCCATTGATCACATATGACGCACCAGTGCGACAGCTGTCAGGCACAGGACACATATATTTAGCATCGCCAAAGAATCTAAACCCCAAAAAATACATTCAAAAACTTTGGTAGATTCCCATTAAGCACGTTTGTGCTAATTAGCTCAACACTACACATCCTGGAACTGCAAGATAAATGAGGAGTTGAAAAAAACGGCAGTGATCCAGTGCCTTTGCTTGTTGCCCAAGGACACGGCCAGGATCAGCGGCAGGGGGGTGCAAGTGGCCAGATGATACCGCGACTCGGTCTGACACTGCGACAGCGGGACAGAGCTCTCACATGCGCTGGCACCTGTGGAGGCTGGCAAGGGCGGGCTCTGACTGAAGAGGCACTGGCAGGGCTGGATTTCCCAAGGCACCACCACAGAGGGGGACTGGGGGACTGCAGCTGCAGGTCCCACGACCACGCGCCTGAAAACACGATGACGCCCCGAAATCTCTTGATTCGGCCTTTTCCCCAAAGTCAGGAGACACAGTACATACACAAAGGGCAAAACATGCAGTAGAGATGCATTTATAAAATGATCTTTTTCAAACCTTTTAAACCTTTAGCTCGTGTCTCTGTTTTTGATGAGTTGCGGTTCCAGCTCAGAGTACCGTAAAGGGGTTTTAAACAACAGCACAGAACTCAGATGTACTTAATTAAACCACAGCTCTACTTGGAACATTTCACAGCTCACTTCAAATTTTCCAGCAGGATATTTTAAGGGGCTCAACAACACAAGGTCATTTAAAAAAAAATGCAAATAAGGAGGGGAAAAAAAACAGCAGTGGGATCACAAGGACCAAACTGGAGGTGATCATTCCATTAACAGCACCAGTGATACAAAATCAAAAAGATCAAAAAGATCTTCTACCCCACACATCTGTCTCAAACCGATTGGGTGATATATAAACAATAACGAAGGAGCTTTTCAAATGTAAGTGCCTGCAATTGTAAAGAAAACGTCTTGAACGAACATTTGATTTCCTTTGGAATTCATTCTGCATTCATACAAAATCTAATTCTTTCTTTCTCAAATCCATAAACGTATTTTAAGAACTTCTTCTTTTGATTAAGTAATAATTGAATGGCAGCTAGTTATTTTTACGTTTGAATAGCTATTTTATAACAGAAAGGGGGTAATTCCATGTCATTTCAAAATTATCTATTTATAGAAATGAAAAATGAGTACTGTGTAATACCACTCAGTGGAAATCAAATTTTGCTTTCAAACTGAAAGCTCAACACAAAAGCAATCTGAAAATGAATTAAATTTACTCACAGTAACTTGAAACCAGGGATAATCCATTTCTTGAGAAGCTAAAAAAAAATGGGCAGCTATCTGCGTGAAAAAACAGAGTATTTCATTGCGACCAATGTAGCGAAAAAATCTGAACGATAAAAACAAAAAAATCAAGAAGATTCCCTAAAAACTGTGCTTGTGGTCTGAAAATCAGTGTGAATTAGTGGAACACACAC